GCTTCAGCTTGCTGGTCCGGAGGCCACACGCCCGCCCTGGAGAGGCAGCTGAACGCCGGGCAGAGCCCCGGGTGGGGGGCCCTCCGCCCTCCGCCGCCTCACTCGGCGTGGGTCCCGGGGTAGGCAGGGCCCGCGCAGGGCCCGGGTGGGCCCGCAGCAGGGCCCTCTGCCCACCGCCGCCTCGCTTGGCACGGGTCCTGGGCTGTAACTAATCTTTTCTAAACTATTTATGTATTTATGGCAATACTCAGGCAACAGTAATGGATTGTCAGAAAAGTCATTACACATGTTTGCATAGAAAAAAATATGTCTTGACTCTTCCAACAACCCAATATTTTCTCAAAGAATTAGAGTGGGCATCAGCAGGTGATATGGAAGATTCGATCCTAGACTCCCACATGACTTATTATTGCAGCTTGAGTCTCAACCTGGTGACTTGCTTCTCACTTTCCCTTTCACTTTCTCATCTATGGTGAATGTGCATGACCTGTACCAAATTTTAAAAACAATAATAATGATAATGATAAATGAAATGAATAATTCTTAGAAAAATATTAGAGTGAAATTCAATTACATTTTTTTCTTGCACTACCTCTGTCTTTTCCATGAATCAGCAGATACTCTTGGCTTATATCTCAGGAGCATGTTTGGCACCCACATATATGTGTATGTTTTTGTTTGTGTTCCAAGCCCTATCTCTATTTATTTTTCCTTTATAATTAAAAAAATTATTTAATTTTATTACTATTATTTTCAAAATTTGCTATAGGACTTGTGCACCAGAGAAGGACAGAAACAAAGTGAGAAAGGGAAAGTGAGAAAGAAAGCGACCAAGTCTAAGAATCTAACTATGATTGGTCTTTGGGAGTCCAGTGCCTTAACCACCATGCCCACTGCTGGCACCAATTTTTCTTTTTATCTTTATTTCCAAGAGCACACATTAACTTACTACACACACACACACACACACACACAGAGAAAGAGAGAGAGAGAGAGAGAAACTGACACTTCTATAAAATGGTCATGACACAATCCTCTCTACACACTTTTTTTCTCTTATCACGATTTTACACAAAATAAAAACTCCTGCTGTGTTTGCAAAGTCATCTAGTTTGGGACTCATGTAACAACTTGGGTCTGTGTGATGCAGTCCCCTTAACCACCAGGATATGAGCTTGTTTCATACCTCTATCTTTAGTTCCTGTTTTGTACACTTGATTTTGCAACTCTTTCACAAAAAATGAGCACTTTTTATTCTTGGCATATTCTAACCTGAACATAAATATTTACTTTTACTAGTGATGAAAATCAAATGATTTCTATAAGAATGTCTGGAATTTCATTAACACCTATATAAAAATTCAAACCATATTTATTTATTACATGTTGGAAACATGGAAGCCTGATTTCTTATAACTCCATATTTCATATTTGACAATACAACATTTCATTTTGAGAATTACTTGATAGTGTACTTTGTATGACAGCAAATTTTGAGGGGCCCAAGTGTGAAGTGTATTAGAATGCTGAGTCGTCAATCTTTAAACTGTGTTTCTTTTTCTTTCTGTAATATATTTCCAAGTGTGGTATTCTTATATTAGTCAATTCTTTGTTCTTAATTGTCCAGATGTTTAAGCTTGGTTGAAAAAGTTATAAAATACTTTCTTAATTTATCTGTAATTATTTTGGACTTATCATCTGGCAATAAAAGTCAGATTCAAAGTTTAAGGCACCTACAGGTAGCCCTGGTGAATACACATCCTCCATTTCATGACTAGCGTGGTTCAGTATGAGAACTAAGATTGACACTACCTTACCCAGCAACAAACTGCAAGGGTGTCCGCTGGAAAGTTTCACAGTTGAGCCTAATAGAATGAGCATGGCCAGAAAACAGCTTACACATAATAGGGTATAATAGTGTTTATAAAATAAATATATCAAAACAATGAACATGTGAATTAAGAATAATGGTGTTCTATGCTTCGTTTCTATTTCTCTGTCTGTGTGAGATTTTTGCTATAGGGCACGTGTACTCATGATAGAGACAGATAGAAAGTGAGAAATCACTCCCCAGGTGTGGATGGCCATGTTACAATCTCTTCTCTTCCTTTAACCTCTTGGTATTTTGGGCACACATGCACATGCACCTCATGTGACCTTCAAGCTTCAGGGTTGGGAATTAAATTGCAATGGGCCATATGAGTCAATGGGCCTTCACCCCCACAAAACCTACTGGTCCCTATGCTTTATTTATAATAGTAGTTTCATTTTTATTGAGCAATGATAGGGACTAACAATGTAGTTATATATTTCATACTTGTTTGATTTGAAACACCTGACTCTGGGCAAGAAACACAAATAAAGCAGCAAACAGGTCAATGCCAGGCATGTTTGTGTGTATGCCCAAAATCCCAGGAAGAGAATAGAGGAGTAGTGATTGCTGTGTGGCCATACTGACTTGGAGGATAATGTTTCACTTTCTCCCTCCCTTCCACTCTCTGATAAATGTATGTGTCTTATAACAGAAACCTAAGAAAATAAAAAGAAGAAGAAGAAGAAGAAGAAGAAGAAGAAGAAGAAGAAGAAGAAGAAGAAGAAGAAGAAGAAGAAGAAGAAGAAGAAGAAGAAGAAGAAGAAGAAGAAGAAGAAGAAGAAGAAGAAGAAGAAGAAGAAGAAGAAGAAGAAGAAGAAGAAGAAGAAGAAGAAGAAGAAGAAGAAGAAGAAGAAGAAGAAGAAGAAGAAGAAGAAGAAGAAGAAGAAGAAGAAGAAGAAGAAGGAGGAGAAAAGAAGGAGAAGGAAAAAAAAAGAAAAAGAAGAAGGAGGAGGAGAAGAAGGAAGAGGAGGAAATACTTCCAAATACTATCAGTGCTTGTGAATGTAGTTCATCTGCCAGAGAAGAATAGGCTGGTCTGCAGCTTCTGAAGATCTCATTTCTTTTTTCTGCAAAAGTATCATATAAAAAACTTTAGCCACCATATACACAGCATGATAGATAAAAAAGCTGGTCATCATTTTCAAATTAGACTGTAGAAAATGGGGAAAAATTTGGTGGGCCCTTTCTAATTTTGCCACATAGTAATCCAGCAAATGAGCATAGAAAAAAAGTAAGTCCAGAGTTTACTGAAGTAAAAATCTTGTGGGTCCCTGCCATGGCTGCACCATGCCCATGCTGCTTGCAGCAGCAGCTGCTCCTCCCCAGCGGCCGCTCCCTGGGGGTCCCTCTCTGCCTGCAGGAGAGAGAGTGAGATAGAGGGAGGACACTGAGCCACACCGCCAGCATCAGAGTCCTTCACCTCCCCCTGCCAGCTCTTCACCCTCTGGGAGGAACATGGAGTTAGGATTTCAAAGATCTAGAAGTTATTCTCAAACATGTTGAGATGACGTTTGAAGTTAGATTGGAAGACAAGAGTCAACAAAAAAAAAAAAGAAGAAGAAAAATTTTGTAAGATAATCTCAGTGATACCTTAAAGAAACTGAAGATAAGAGCTGTTGACAAGACCGAGAATAGTTTAGAAGGATGCTTGGATTGTCTGCTGCAAGCCCTGGCTCAGAATAATGCAGAAACAAGTGAAAAACTTCAAGGAAGTGGAATACTTCAGCTGTTTGAAAATCTATTGACTCCCCAGTCTCCCTGCACAGTCAAAGCAGCTAACGCTATAGTAGACGTAGCCAAAAATGAATTTATGTGACTTCTATGTGTGGATGCTGAATTGATTTCACCACTGGTGCAACTACTAAATATCAAAGACTAGGAAGCGCTGCTTCAAATAGGCAGAGCCCTAGGAAACATATGCTATGATAGCCATGAGAGTAGAAGTGCAGTTGGCCAAGCAGGTGGTGCACAGATTGTAATTGATTATTTAAGGTCATTGTGCAGTGTAACAGATCCCACCAATGAGAAGCTCTTGACTGGTTTTTGTGACATGCTGATGAACTATAGCAATGAGAAAGACTCCCTCCAAGCTCAGCTTATCAATATGGGTGTCATTCCTACTGTAGTGAAATTACTGGGTATCCACTGCTAAGATGCAGCTCTTACAGAAATGTGTATTGTTTCCTTTGGTAATTTAGCAGAACTTGAGTCAAATAAAGAACAGTTTGAAAGCACAAATATTGCTGAAGAGCTGATAAAGCTCTTCAAGAAGCAAATAGAACATTATAAGAGAGAAATGATTTTTGAAGTCCTCACCCCTTTGGCAGAAAATGATGCTCTTAAACTACAGCTGGTTGAAGCAGGCCTGGTAGAGTGTCTACTAGAGATTGTTCAGCAGAAGGTGGATAGTGACAAAGAGTATGACATTGCCAAGCTCAAAACTGGTTCAGATTTAATGGTTTTATTACTGCTTGGAGAGGAATCCATGCAGAAGTTATTTGAAGGAGGAAAAGGCAATGTGTTTCAAAGGGTACTTCCCTGGATTACATCAAATAAACACCAGCTACAGTTTGCTGGAGCACTGGCCATTGCCAACTTTGCCAGATATGATGGAAATTTTATTCATATGGTCGACAACAAAATTGTAGAAAAGTTTATGGATTTACTGAACAGACACGTAGAAGATGGCAATGTGACCGTCCAGCATGCAGCACTCAATGCCCTCAGGAACCTGGCCAGCTCAGTTGTAAATAAAGCAAAGATGTTATCCTCTGGGGTCACAGAGAGAGTTCTGAAATTCCTGAAATCAGAAATGCTCCCAGTTCAGTTCAAACTTCTGGGAACATTAAGAATGTCGATAGATGCCCAAGAAGTTGCTGAACAACTGGGCAAGAATGTTAAGATAGTGGAGCATTTGGTGAAATGGTGTGAAGCCAAAGATCATGCTGGGTTGATGGGGGAGTCCAGCAGATTGCGCTCAGCCCTCATCTGGTACAGTACATTGAAAGATGTAATTAAAACCATCATACAGAGAGGTGGCATCAAGCATCTTGTTACCATGGCAACTGGTGAGCATGTAATAATACAGCCCTCATTGCTTTAGCACTAATAGCAGCTTTAGAATTGGGCATTGCTGACAAAGATCTAGAAAGTGCTAAACTTGTACAGGCTTTACACAGACTGCTAGCAAATGAGAAAAGTGCTTTCGAAATAAAATATAATTCCATGGTCCTGATCTGTGTTCTCATAGGATCTGACTCTCTACACAAGGAAGTGCAGGATTTGGCCTTTCTAGATATTGTATCCAAACTTCACAGTCATAAGAACAAAAATGCCACCCAACAGGCCTCTGTCGCAGAGCAGAGACTTACTGTGGAAAGCCAAGACCCACCCCTTGCTGATACACAGCATCATCCCATCTCTGAATTCCCTTTTGTCCTCCATCCAGCTACCTCTTCTGCTTCATTCTTTACCACTATCACATGTGCGTGCGTGTAATGTTTCAATACCAATTGCTGTAGGTACCTGCCTAATAAGATTTTTTAAACCCACAGTTAGTGTGAGCATGACTTTGTCAAAAACAGGTCTCCACTCATAACTGTTTTCTTGTATTCCTGTTGCTTGAGCTACATTAAGTAGAATGTGCATGGTATAGTCCTATGATGATGTAAACTTGGTACTACATAATAAATTGCTCTTCACATGTGGTAAACTACATAATAACATACTGGTCAATTAAAAACAAAGAATGCAGCAGAGTCTATCTAGCATATTAAAGACAAAATTGAATAAAAAATAAGCTCTTTTTTGATGCTCAAAAAGCACAGTGATCAAAAAATTGTATGACTGCTCATTTAGAGTTACCTACTAATGTCAAGCCAATGGTACCTAGAGTTAAATAAAATTTAAATGTTCTCATTCTTTAAAATAATTTTGTGAGTATTGGGAAGGTTTCACTGTCTTGAGAAATAGTTTGAAGCCAGAAATTTTCCTTTTCTGCTTTGAAAAAAAAGAGATGTCCATGGAAAAAATGTGGCATCTTCTCAAAATTAGTCAAAATAAGTTTCCACTCTGTGGAGTGTAAATTTTCCATAATCCATACCTTTCCCAAAATTAAATAGAATTATTTTCCAATCTCAGGCTCAAGAAACTCCTTTAATTACCATGTATTATGTACACATTTGCAGATGACACTTTGATCCTCTGCAAAAGAGTAAAATCACATGAAAAACAAGACACCTTTTGTGGTAGGGAGCTTTTCTGTAAAGAAGACCACACAGATATACTTTTTTAAAATTTTTATTTAATTTACTTATTTTTACATTTTTCCGCAAACATTTACTTTACATAGCAAAAAATTTTAGCTCATACTCCATAATTCTTGACAGTTTGCAAACAACTTTCAAAATTTCAAAATACTGAATTTTAATGATAATGTTCAAAATATGTCTTATAATTTTGTATAATTTTATGACTCTATAACAATAGAAGCAGTATGGTTTCATATATATATATATATATATATATATATTTATTTATTTATTTATTTAGAGTGCAGACATTCAGTATATATTAAGTGGGGACATACAATGCCTCTCCTTCATAGCATGGCTTACTTCATTCAGCAATAAGTCTTCCACATTACTCCACTTCCTTTCCAACGCCAGGGTTTTGTTGTTTTTTAGGCATG